GTATTCCCATTCCCATCATGCTCATCTGCACTCTCAGTCCCATCATGCTGTTGCTGCTGAACCACAACACTTAATTTAAATGTGGTTTGGAAGGAGTCCCATTGATTTTTCAACTGGACTTGAATAAATCTACGGTTAAAAGCATACGATTTCCATAAGAATAAAAGCCCAGAACACATTATTCAGTGGTTAGACAAAGGGCATAATGAAATCTCATACAAGTTACAGAGATAAACTGAAATGGCATTATAAAATGTATTTTAACCTCTTGCCTCATTAATATCCTTTAGGTGTTAGAGAGGCTGCAACAAATAATGGAATATTGGACAAAATGAACTAGTGGTCAGTTGCCATTAAGGAAACATGGACAAAAGGCTTTGATCACATGGACAAAGTCTAAAGGTTACTTTTCAAGAAGAAATTGTGAGCAAGTCTCTTTAGGCACTCCTATACAGAATCCACCATCTCCAAAGTGCATCCCATGCACATTTCATATTTGTGTGACTAACCCAACAACACAGGCTGGCCCAAATGCATGTGTCTCTCCAGGCTTATCATTACTCCCTTCCCAATGATGGTGGGAAGAGTGGTACTGTGTGTGTGTGTGTGGGGGGGGGGGACCAATTAGATGCAGAGTGACATAATTCTGATACTTACACCTGGAATTTTACAGTGGTTACCATGTTAGAAAGTAAAGACCTCTGCAAAGTTATTTTGCCATTACTGAAGGAAGGTTATTTGAGACCAGTGGTTCCCACCTGTGGGCCATGGACCACCAGTGGTCCACAAGAACAAAATATGGTCCGCGGCCTCACCATTACTACACCATTGCCTTGAAACCACAAGGCAATGAGAATGACTGGTCTTGCGAAACCCTCTTATATTGCTGAGACAACGAGGATGTCAGGAGGGAAGAGGCTGATTACCCACGAAAGATTACTACTACCACATCAGCTCTAGATTATTAAATATGGTTTTCTATGGGCAAGCAGATGGCGACTAGTGGATGGCCTATGTTCTGTATCAGGAACTAGAGCTGATGTGGTCTATCCAATGCAATTTTCTGAATCAGCACTCCAAATAACCAAACCAAATCTGAAGTTAACCAAAAACTGATTTGTAACCCTTTTGGTATTAATATTGGAGAGTGGTCCCTGGTCAAAGTGGTCTCTGGTCAAAAAAGGTTGGGAGCCATGGTTCAAGACCAATGTGAGGCACAATTCTCCAGAGAAGGTCTAAACAAATTAGAGGAAACCCATCCTTGACTTATCTCATTTTATGTTAGGTTCTCCAAACACAAGAAATAGGCAGAGTTTTCAATGTTAGCATTCTATCATATTCAGTAGTACAAAGAAAGATTTGTAATAACATGTGTTCTATGAGAGGCAGCCCTGTAGAATAGTAACGCTGCAGCTGGCTGAAAACCACTGCTGATAAGCCTAATCTTTTGTGCACAGCAGCATTTCTTTTGACAACTAAATTTCTCTTTTTCTCTTAAGGCATTTCACCTTCTAATTCTTCAGTGGTCTCTCATTCCAATCCAATGTCTGTTCTGTGAATCTTTCATTGTCTGAGTATTTTCACAGCTATCAACTGTTATATACAGTATATATTGAACTGAAATTCTCCTTGGAACTAATTTTCTCTTTGGAAGTAAAATTCTGCAAGATCATTTAAGCTTTAAAAATATGTTATGATATTAAGGGCATTGTAAGTGAAGATCACAAGCAATTATTTTGCTGCTGTGTAAAAGATGAAGGAAGGTGTAGTCTAGATGAAGGAACTTAGGCTTCAATTCTAAACAAACATAATACATAAAGTAAATTCTAGTATATCTAGTGGGGGCTGTAACTTCATGTCAAGCGTCAACTTATGGCAACCTGATGCAGTTCATAATGTTTAAGGGAAGTTCCCAAGTTATGAACAAGATAGGTTCTGTAGGTTTGCTCTTGAATTATTTTTTTATGCAAGTCAGAACAGGTACATTTTTAAAGTGTAACTCCAGCCAGCCAGCCAGCCAGCGGTAGCGCAGGAGGTTAAACTGCTAGCTGCAGGAAATCTGCTGCCTGGAAGGCCCTAGCTTTTGCCAACCTAGCAGTTCAAAAGCATGCAATGTAAGTAAATCAATAGGTAACGCCTCGGCGGGAAGGTAAAAGGGTGTCCCATGCAGACATGCAACACGATCAGAGATGTCTACAGATAACAGACTCCTCAGCATGGAACATGGAAAAATGGAACAAGAGCACCTCCCCACGGCTGGACCTGCCTCCAGACACAGATAAAAGGGGAAGGTCTTTACCTTTGCCTGTGTATTGTATGTCGTTGTTGCTCTGTGTAACAGGCACTGAATGTTTCCCTTATCATCATCATCATCATCATCATCATCGGATAGTATAGGGAAGGGTTAACATGCCTGTGGTGTTTGTTTTGTTGTTGGTACCCCGTTAAGAAAATTTCACCTCACTTTCTGTCCCTGTGATAATTGGAATTTCAAAACTAACTAGGTCTGAACCTGTTTAGCTTTCAAGATCATAAGAGATCTGATACCTTCAAGGTACTGAATGTGTACTAAACACAGTATGTTTTAGTACAGTGGTTTTCAACCTATGGGTCCCCAGATGTTTTGGCCTTCAACTCCCAGAAATCCTAACAGCTGATAAACTGGCTGGGATTTCTGGGAATTGTAGGTCAAAACACCTGGAGACCCATAGGCTGAGAACCACTGTCTTAGTAAATCTGCATACAACTTACTTAATTTAGGTATATGTGTACTATCTGTCAAACACTAGGATCCCCAAAGTGATGTACAATTGATAAAAAAACACATTAAAATACTAAAAACATTTTAAAATTACAATCTCTTCTTCAAAAAGTTGCAAAGTAGCATACAATGGCAAAACAACCAGAACAGTCACTTCTCATTTTGTGACCTAAAGGCCAAGTGAAATGCCATGGTCTTATCTGCCTAACACAGAACAGCGAGCTCCACAATGAGAATGCTGATACAAAGCAATCTGAGTAAATTATAAAACACCTTGCTCCACCATCACTCTAGCTGTCTGCCCAAATAATGCATTGCCCTGGGTGCCTCAGAAAACCAAAAAGCCCATACTATTGAAGGTACCTCAACTGTAAGAGCCAGTGTGGGGTAATGGTTTGAGTCAGCATTTGAATCCTTAATCAGCCATGAAAACTAACTAGGTGAACTTGGCCAAGTCCTGCTCTCAGAGGAAGGCAAAGGCAAATCCCAACTGCAAAAAACTTGCCAAGAAAACCCCATGATAAGTTCCACTTTAGGTTGCCAATAAGGTGGAAGTACAGTAACTTGAAGGCACACAACAACAACCACCTCAACTGTGGGATTGACTCAAGAGACCTCTGAGAATTACACTGTTGAAAGACCAGCCAAAGTCTGAGGCCTGTAAGCAAACAAAATTCCAATTTCTACATGCAAATTTCAAATACCACCATTGCTAATAACTGACATAATTGTAAAGTTTTATTTAGAGAGAAACACATCATTGATTTAAAATTGCTAGAAAGCTGCAATACAGTCCAGATGTGTATAACAAAGACACCTTTCCATAAATTATAATATGGATATAACCCAGAATGCACATTAGATTAACTTCTAAAAACCACTATACCCATAATGGGTCAGCTTTCATTAAAACAAGATGACAAATGCTTTGGATTCATGTTCAGATACAGGACAACTGATCATTTTTCACTTCTGCAGTGTTCATATTAAAAAAAAGTCAAAAAGGACTTCTTAATGCAGTGGTTCTCTATCTGTGGATCTCCAGGTGTTTTGGCCTTCAACTCCCAGAAATCCTACCTGCTTGAAAAGTGTCTAGGATTTCTGGGAGTTGTAGGCCAAAACACCTGGGGACCCACAGACTGAGAACCACTGTAAAGAGAAACATACTGAAAAAGGTGGTGAAGAGGTTTCAAACAGATAAAGCAATTTTGCAATCATGGCTGGTGAGGCTTTTTATGTTTTTACTGAACCTATACTCTCCTTCTTCCCAGGCCACGATAGCAATTCAGTCCTTTCAAACTACTCTACATAAATACTTCCCTACCAAACCACTCTTTAGCTTCTTTCCAACTTTCTTTTTAACATGATATATAATGAGTACTCATTACAGCAAAATGGATCTTTATTCTCCCCCATTCCTTTTTGCTCAGTACTAGAACAAAACCTCTCAATTGGTTGCTTCTCTACAGTCCCAATTGGCAAATGCAGCTCAATGTAGATGCCAAGAACTGCACACTTACATCATTGCAGAGAAAATGCAACTTCCCTAAGGATAAATATGCTATGGACAAATACAAAAACTGTACATGCTTATAAGAATTCACCAAGTTGGAGTAAAATTATAAGCAATAATGGACATATCCACGTCTACTAAGAAAACAGAGGAAATAAGTTGAGAGTCCAGGAATGGTAACTTATATTTGTCCAAATCACAACTACACATATACATAGTCCATTCACCAGTTAAAACAAGTTAGAATATTTCCAACAATTAAAACATGAGTTTAGGCAGTAGTGAATACCCTGACACTAACTGCCATTGAACTCAATAAAACATTTGTGCCTAGAACTCAATGCATTTTTTACACTAGGTAAAGAGAATGAAACAATCAATCAATCACAAAAGTTACCGGATCATTTATTTCACTTCCTTAGAAAATTCTGACGCACTTCTCGAATTTTCAGCATGCATGAATTTTTCCAAGTCTTCTCTTTTTTCAGATCAAACACATAACAGAAGTTTGGTTTCAATATAGTTTCACAATCCTCTGAAAAATATAAGGCTCAAAGCTTCATGTGCTTACCAAACATTCAAAACTGACCTGGTTTGTCCTGGGATTGTATCAGTGGCAACACTCCATATCTTTCCTTTGCATAGTCCTAAAGAAGAAAAAGAGGTATTATTGTATTGAAAGCTTTTTCTTCAAAGTAATAGGAAAAATGTTAGTTCTTCATGTGTGGCAATATTCTACATAAGGAATTGTGTCAAAAGCATAGTATACAGCCTAAAGGTAAACTTATAGCATGACTCTGAAAATAAACAGCAACTGAATGCAAGACAGAAATTTGCATCCCAGCAAGCACAAAGGCACATGTACATCTTTTATTATAATATGATGAAATGTCATCCGTGTGAACAAGCCACATGTGATTTAGGACACTGAGTTTTTGTTAACGCTCCTCACACATATACTGAGGGTAAATATACATGACAAGTAACAACAGCCTAGAAATCAACTTTTCCCAATTTTTCTTTTATTACAGAATGATTTAACCTTTGACAGATATAAAATCACCCTGTTTTCCCCGCATCATCATTATAAGATATATATAATCATATATTCATATATTGGCACGAGCTATAAGCATATGGAAACAAAGTTCTTTCTGGGGATGAACTGGATTAAAACATTCAACTTCCAGTTGATCTGTCAAACAGACATCAAGCCATGAAAAGGATATTGTTTACTTAGGCATGTACTTGACAGGTGCACAAGTACACAAATACTTGGGAATATAAGGAAGCCACTTTCTTCAATACCAATTTGAAACTGCATTAAATGTTGAGTGTAGATTTCCCCTAGACTGCAGAGAGTGGGTAGATTTGTCCCTTTATGCTGATCAGATCTTGCCTCATAATGACATTTGGCAATTTAGTTTTTCCTTATTGAGATACTGGGTTTCTTTAAAATTGGTAACCTGAAACTCACTAGATTAATAGGAAGTCACATGAAGGCTACAGTGAGGAAATATAGCCCTAATTCCAAGAACACATAGTTCACTGCAGCTAGTATGAGGCCTGGATGGTGATTACACAAGCCCCAGAGCACTGGTGCGCATTAGGGCTTTCTTTTGCAAAATTTCAGGGACATTTGTTGTCTTGCCACCACAATCTGGAGCTAGCTTTGAACTACATTAAATGGTTAGTGTAAATGGAGTCTTAATAAGCCACATTGCTGACACACCTATGAGAAGATCTTTTAGTATGTGAATGTGATTGCAAAATCCTTGTATACTGTTACATAACTCAATAAGGATGAAAAAAAAACTAGGAATGGGGAATGAAAAAAATTGGAAGTGTAGAAATGGAAATTAAGATGCAGAGAGATCTTTAAAATAATGCAAAAGAAAAGCAGTGATACTATCACCGAGGATATAACAGTGCAACAAGATATTTGGAATGTGGAAAGGACAGGAAGTCATATGTGATGGAAAGCATGACAACATAAAAGGCAAAGAAAGAAAACAATAATTTAATATTGAAGCATAAACAGATTTCCTTGTTAAGAGAACAATGTGAAATCACAAAAGGGATGTTTAAACCTGCATAATAACATTAAAGTAAGCAACTTGTGTAAACAGGGGGCAATTAGGTTGAGAAACAACAAATATTTATAACAGTGGGAATACAACTGCAGGATGGTGATACAGTCGAAATTTATTACGAAAAGAAAAATATTATACTAATACCACAAATAACAGGATAACACAGCAGTATTTCTTTTCCCTTCCCAAGCTCGTATCTGATGAGGTCATTAATTTAAATTGTGCCCTTTCCTAATCTGGCAACTCAAAAAATCTTGTAACTATGAGCATCAGTAGTAGTGGCACAGGCTTTAGTTGCAATTATTATCATCCAGATAAGAGAATTGAATATTGCATTAAAATAATTTCCCAAAAATAGATATGAACATTAGAAGTCACTACCAATAACGGTGCTCTGTTCCTCACTCTGTTTAATTATAATTCATTTCAGAGTGATTGCCAATTTGAATTTGAATAATAATTATGTGGAGTGAGAAATGCCAGATGTTCAAGATGGATTCAAAAAGTTATAAGCATCTGAGATCACAAGAAAAACATACATTGGCTAATGGAGCTTATTAAAGAATTTCAGAATAAAATCAGCCTGTGCTTTATAGATCACAGAAAGACGTCCAGTTGTACAGTATATATCATGGATAATTACAGATATCTCTAAAGGAAATCAGTGTGCTTCAATATTTGACTGTCTTGATATGTAACCAATATCCAGGACAGAATATAGAGAAACAAGAGTGGTCTCCAATGAATTGAGAGATCAGGCAAATCTACATTTTATCCCTCCTTGTTTTAATTTGTACACATATCATACAAAAACAGGATAACACCTGGACTAAAGAGGAGGGAAAATTGAGAAACAGGACATCATCTAGATACCATATTACTTGCTGAAAATTGCAAAGACCTGGAACAACTATTGATAAAAACTGAGGAAGAAAGTGTAAAATGAGAAATTCAACGGAAAATTAAGAAAACAAAAATAATTGATCATGAATTATTTATGTAAATTTAAAGCAGAGGATGAAGAAATCAGGATAGTTATACATTTCTACGCCTTTCCTCAGCCAAAAAATCAAAATGGAAATCAGTTGGAAAGCCAACTGTGAAAGAATTAGATAAGAGCCTCAAGCATAAAGATATATCATTAAATACTAAAGTCAGGTTCATCCATGCTATGGTATTATTGATTTCTATTCATGGTTATGAAATCAGGACAGTTAAGAAAGTTACAGATATGGACTGCTAAAAAAGACAAACGGGTCCAAGAAGAACTCAAGGCTATCTCAACAATAGAAACAGATAGAGAAAGAGATAACACAATTCATCAGAAAGACAATTAAGTTAAAATTTGAATAGAGTAGGAGAAAAGGAAGACTGCAATATAGGCCCCTTCCACAGAGCTGAATAAAATCCCACGTTATCTGCTTTGGACTGGAATATATGCCGGTGTGGGCTTAGATAACCCAGTTCAAAGCAGATATTGTGGGATTTTCTGCCTTGATATTAATATAATAATAATAAAACTTTATTTATACCCCGCCACCATCTCCCCGAGAGGACTCGGGGCAGCTTACATGAGGCTATGCCCATCAATACAGTAAACACAACAGAAAATCAGAAAATAAAATAACGTAAAATGCAGAACCAATGTAAACAAGCAGCAAAACAATATAAAATCAAAACAATATTCTGGGTTATATGGCTGTGTGGAAGGGCCCATAGATAAACAGATTCAATTAAGGAAGTTTCAGTACCAAGTTTGCAAAATCTCACCTGGGCTATTGAAAACTAGGTGTCTAGTGGTCTTTTATTCATAGATCACCATAAAACAATGCCAGCTTGATGGTAAATAATAAGAAAGTATGGCAAGTGATAGTGCTATATAAAAATGTCCATATACACAAGCAGAGGTGATACAACACTGACTCATGGGGAATTAATTATGAGAAGCAACTCTGGACCAAAAGAGCTAGAACTAAAAACTATTTAATTCTGTTTTCCTCATTCAAGAATTAAGACTATTGTTTAAATATTTATATCCCCATTTCTCTTTATATATATATGTGTGTATATATAGTGTGTGTGTATATAGAAAGAGAGAGAGAGAGAGAGAATAAAACTGCTGGTTTATTTAAGATTTATGATCTCTGGAAGTTTTTAAACAGAGGCTGGGTGGCCATGTCGACCAGTGCTTTGGATGTGAGTACCTCCATGGTGGAATGGGTTAGATTGAATCATAGAATCATAGAGACCTCATAGGCCATCCAGTCCAACCCCCTGCCAAGAAGCAGGAAAATCAGTTGCAGTTTCTTTCAACTCTATGGTTCTATGATTTTTTTTAAAAAAAAATGAAACAGTTTAGGTGGAGTCTTAAGTTACAGCAAGCATGTTTTTAAAAGAAAGAAGGACGACAAACAGGAAAATTAAACAAGTTTCTTTTCATAGGAGTGAATGAGTTAATGTGGGAAGAACAGAACATGCAAACTTTACTAGGTGCAATAAGCTAGCTAATGCATGGACCTCCTATATATGTTATACCTATCTTCCCTATGATGCAAATCTCCTGCAACAGACTTCTGTGATCTCTTAGTGTAAGTATTAGTCTGCAGAACAAAGGCTTTGTCACAGTAGAATTGCCCTCTTAATACAAAAAACAATTAGCAATTTGTTTCAATTTAAGACGTGTAATAAAGAAAAGGCAACAGTATCCAGAGCTCATGAAAACAGCAAAATGTCAGAAATGAATTAATACTGCTCGTTCCATTCTGTCTCAAACATCATTTAGGACCTGAACCCGAAATTGATGATATATTTTACTAACATGGCTTATTACATAAGGAAGCCATATCCCTGGTCTGTTATCTCAGCTTCTACATGGCACAGCACGAGGGATGTGTCCTCTATTCCTTTGCTGTATTATCACGTTAATAAGCTTCCTGTGAGAGCTCTTCCAGACAGGCCCTATATCCCAGCATCTAATCCCATGTTTTCTGTTTATCCCAGAATATCTAGCAGTATGGATTCATAGAGTCATAGAGTTGGAAGAGACCTCATGGGCCATCTAGTCCAACCCCCCTGCCAAGAAGCAGGAATATTGCATCCAAAGCACCCCTGACAGATGGCCATCTAGCCTCTGTTTAAAAACCTCCAAAGAAGGAGCCTCCACCACACGCTGGGGCAGAGAGTTCCACTGCTGAACGGCTCTCACAGCCAGGAAGTTCTTCCTCATGTTCAGATGGACTCATATATTCCCATTTAAAGCAGAAGACCTGGGATCAGAGCCTGTCAGGAAGGGCCATGAGATACACAGGTTGAATATCCCTTATCCAAAATACTTGGGACCAGATGTGTTTTGATTTTTGGAGATATATACCCCTGTATTTGCATATAAATACACAATGAGGGGGGGCAGCGGTGGTACATTGGGTTAAACCGCTAAGCTGCAGAACTTGCTGACCAGAAGGTCAACAATTCAAATCTGTGGGACGGAGTGAGCTCCCGTTGATAGCCCCAGTTTCTTCCAACCCAGAAGTTTGAAATGTGAGTAGATCAATAGGTACCATTTTGGCGGAAAGGTAACAGTGGCCCCATGACATAGGAGGCGTCTGTGGACAACGCTGGCTATTCGGCTTAAAAATGTAGATGAGCACCAACCCCAAGAGTCGGACACAACTAGACAATGTCAAGAGGAAACCTTTACCTTTACACAATGAGGAACCTTGGAGATGGGACCCGAATCAATACAAAATTAATTTAAAGTTTCATATATAACTTACACAGTCTAAAGCAGGGGTCCTCAAACGAAAACCTGGGGGCCGGATATGGCCCCCCAAGGTCATTTACCTGGCCCTCGCTCAGGGTCAACCTAAGTCTGAAATTACTTAAAAACACACAACAACAATCCTATCTCATCAGCCAAAAGCAGGTCCACACTTCCCATTGAAATACTAATAAAGTTTATATTTATTAAAATTGTTCTTCATTTTAATTATTTATTGTTTTAAGTGTTTTTTGCACTACAAATAAGATATGTGCAATGTGCATAGGAATTCATTCATGTTTTTATCAAATTATAATCTGGCCCTCCAACAGTTTGAGGGACTGTGACCTTGAAAAGTTTGAAAACCCCTGGTCTAAAGGAATGGCATTTCCCCACAATATTAATAACATTGTGTATGAAATAAAGTATGTGGACACTCAACCATTGGAAATTGCACTCTCAGCCACCCATGTGGGTATTTCAGAAAACATGGATAAGGGACACTCAATCTGTTATGTTTCTTTTCTCCAGTTCATGTCTATAGAAATTTTCACAGCTGCGTAAGACACAATAGGATGGCTCCAGGATCAAAAACCTGGAGTGCATCTACATGGTAGAATTCAAGCAGTTGGACACCACTTCAAATGCCATGGCACAATGCTATGGAATCCTGGGAGTTGTAGTGTTTAGCCTCCTCTGCCAGAGAGTGCTGCTGCCTCGCCGAACTACAACTCCCAGGACTCCACAGCATTAGGCCAAGGCAGCTGAAGTGGTGTCAAATGCATTAATGCTGGCATGGGCAAATTTGGGCCCTCCCTCCAGGTGTTTTGGACTCCAACTCCCACAATTCCTAACAGCCTACTGACTGTTAGGAATTGTGGGAGTTGGAGTCCAAAACACCTGGAGGGAGGGCCCAAGTTTGCCCATGGCAGCATTAATTCCCCAGTGCAACCCCCATTTCATCGGCTTCTCCTCAAATAACCCTGAGGGGAAAAGAAAAAAAAGAACCAGGGAGCCCTTCTGGACCAGGCCTCATCCCTCGGGGAGCCTCAGAACCCCCCCCCCCCCCCCCCCCCCCAGCCCGCCCTCTCCGCTTCCCAGAGACCCACATCAGCTGCCGGCTGCTCCATGGCGTTCTCCCTCTTCCGCTCCTGATTCTTACGGGCGGCCACGCCGGGCATTTTGCCACTTCCTGCAATAAACTTGCCCACAGGGAGAGGAGGAGGAGGAGGGGAAGGGGAAAAAAAAAAAAGCAACCCTTTCACTCTTTTCGTCCCTTACAGGCTACCGTACTACATGGCAAGCCCCGGCTAACCCTGACACACGCCACGGCCTGCCCACTCAGCAGCGCCAGGGGCTCTCCAAGCCCCTCGTGCCTGTCCGCGCGGCTTCCGGGCACGTCGAGCACGCGCTGGCCGTGACGTCACGCGAGGAGGATTCCTCCCCCCCCTCCCCAGTCATCCCTACTCCCTCCTGCCTTGCGTTCTTTCCAACTATCGCGAGAAGACACTATTTTCCGGGGAATTCGACTCTTCAGCCTTTTGGACTTCAGCTCCCACAATTCCTAACAGCCGATTGTGGGAGTTGAAGTCCAAAACCTGACATATTCTTTAGACTTAGTGCAGTTTGGCAGCTCTTTAACTGCCATGGCTCAGTGCTATTGACTTCTAGAGGGTCGAAGTTGTACAAGGACTATAAACTAGACTTTTTTTTTTTGGCCAAAGATTGCCTCTCCCAAACTAAAGTCCCCATAATTCCATAGCAATGAGGCATGGGAGTTAAAGTGATGTGAAACTGCATTAATTCCAAAGTGTAGATGTCTCCTGGTTTCTGCTAATAGTATGGCGCCATCTGCCTATCTTTTAAATTGTTGTGTGCTCCTTCTTCCAGTGTCCAAGCCTTTCTTTCAGGTCTAACCCTCCTTTATGTGGGATACTGGCGTCGCTTAGGTGTCGCTGGGACCACTGCCCGTCTGCTTCCTCCCTTCTCCAGCTCTGAGAAGGCCTCCTTGGCAGCCATCTGGCAATGGTGGGCAGGCTCTTCTTGCGGCTCTTCCTTGCCTTCCTCTGTCTCCCTCATACATATTTCCCCCTCTTCTTTCTTTCCTTGCTCTTCTTATTCTCTCTTACCTCACATTTTCCTCCTTTCTCTTTCATGTCTTTCCTTTGTCTTCCTTTCTTCCCTCCTTTTTCTTTCTTCCCCTTACTCTCTTCTTTCACTTTTTTCTGTTCCAGATTATCTGGCTTGAACTGGATTATGTGGCAATGTAGACCCATATAATTCTGCTCAAAGCAGATAAAGTGGATTATCCGCCTTGCTAATCTAATTTCATCCCTTCTTTTCTCTCATACACATGTCGTTTTTCCTAGTGACAACACAGATGGCCACTTCACCTAGCGACAGCCTTTGTGGGACAAGTAGATTATGCATTCCATACATATTTACTTTCAGATAGATGGATATATATACGAGCACACAAACACATATATTGAGCCCTGTGGTGGTGCAGTTGGTTAAACCGCTGAGTTGCTGAACTTGCTGACTGAAAGGTCAGTGGTTCAGATGTGTAGAGTGGGGTGAGCTCCCGCTGTTAGGACCATCTTCTGCCAACCCAGCAATTCAAAAACATGCAAATGTGAGTCGATAATAGGTACTGCTTCTGCGGGAAGGTAACGCCGCTTCATACAGTCATGCTGGCCACATGACCTTGGAGACGTCTATGGACAACGGCTCTTCCACTTATTTATTTATTTCAGATATTTGTACCCCTTCCTTCTACCCCCCCCCCCCTCGGGGGGACGGGACTCAGGGTGGCTTTCAGCCAGCAACAATTCGATGCCTCCAATGTACACATAATAAAATCCAATCGTTACTTACATTTAAAACATTAAATCACATTAGAATGAGCACCACCCCCCAGAGTCGGACATGACTAGACTTAATGTCAGGGGAAACTTTTATCTTTGCTATATATGTATGTATGTATGAATGAATGTCCAGCATAAAAATTAATCAGGGTAATAAAATGCAGGCTTGCCTGACCATCTTATCAGGAGGAAATAATTCCAAGACTATTCAGTCTAACAGTAGCTTTTTGCCTACAGCATCAGGATAGTAAAATGTCATGGCACACCCATTTCTTTAAGAGCAATTCATAGCTTTTCATAATCCATACAGTCAAAGGCTTTGAACAGATTCTGATGACCTGTTAAAAACACACACACACACACACACACGCACACACCAGAATATTGTAGTAAAATTTGGCAGGATTATAGAGAAAACTGCACTGTTTTAAATGGCATAGTTGGTTTTGCTTCAGTAGATGAACACTCCTGTGGAAATACGACATTTCTGCTTTAAATAGTAATAGATAGTGCAAGCCTATGCATGTTGCCCAGGAAGTTTGTTCTGCGGGAATTAAACAGGATTTACTCCTAGGTGAGTGGTTACAGAATTGATGCATTAGCCACTTAAATAACTTGAGAGAGGCAACTTGTCCCTGCTTGTCTTGGAAAAATAATAGTAGAAGCCAGTGGCTTTCACGTCAGTGTTGCTGGTGGATCTCGTTTACGTTTTAATACAAATGTTAAAAGAAACAGTCCAGGGGGCTGAACCAGTTTCGACGACAATGTTGGATACCTCTGAAGTTCAGGCTAAAATCCAGACCAGATTCTTCATGGAAGCTGCCAGTGGAGGATATTATTTTTATTTCTGTAGATACTCCTGAAATTTCTGTAATATTCCATACACCACAGTTGCCAAAACAGCAATATGTATATGAAGTGCTAAATAATTTGCCATCATTTCAGCTTCTCTTTTACTGCAGCACTTTAAGAAGTTAAAAATGCAAGTCTCAAAACAGAAGCCTATTTTATCCATCTTTGTAGAGACTGAAAGTACCGTATATTCCTGGGCGTATAAGACAACCCCCGCCCCCCAAATTTCCAGTTAAAATATAGAGTTTGGGATATATTCGCCGTATAAGACTACCCCTTCTCCAACGCACACCAAATAAAAATTTAAAAAGCATCAGGTTTGATTTCAATATGGTAATTTTTCTGTTACTGTACCTCCTTCTCTGCCTCTCAGATCTTGCAGTCTTTAGGAGCGAGATCTGAGAGGCAGAGGAGGAGGTATGGTAATAAGATACAAGGGCGGGCCAGACAGGTAAAAGAGGTGTGTTTTTCTGGGCCCAGAGCACACTCTCTCTCTTTTTCCATACCCTGGACCTGGACACCTGCAGCTTGCTCCCCCTTCACTTACACCAGGCCCGTAGCCAGGATTTCGATTCGGGGGGGGGGGGGGAGCTTGTTTTGAAGGAGATAAACTGTAATTGTATGTTATGTTCAGGCCCGTAGCCAGGATTTCGATGGGGGCGGGGGGGGGGCGGGGCTGAGTCTGAGTGAAAGAGGGTCTACCCTAGCAAACCTTTTGTATCATTACCCCAATACCCCCATGCATATGGGATATATTGAGTATGGTGATCAGAGCATGATATGAATAAACATAACAGTTTAAATAATGCACCAGTAAGGCCTTTTCGCGAACCACCATGAGAATTTGGGGGGGGGCTGAAGCCCCTCAAGCCCCCCCCCCCTGGCTACATGCCTGCTTACAACTTACCAGTGAGGCGTCCCTTCACCTCATTAAGGACCGCATTAAGTCCACAAATCCTGATGAATGGATTTTCTTCTACCGTACTTGTACAGCGTCGCCCTTAATGCTTTCATACAGTCGCTGCATACAGCAGGGACGCAGCCATTGCCATTTTTGAGCTCCCCCACCATATGCAGCAACCACAGATTCTCCAATCCGATTGGAAGTTTCAGCACCCGCTCTATAAGACGACTCCCGGCATATAAGACTATGCCTGCATATAAGACAACTCCCTTGTATAAGACTACTCCCTTGTATCCATAAGACTACTCCTGTGCATAAGACTACTCCCGCGTATAAGACGACCCCACGTATAAGACGACTCCTGACTTTTGAGAAGATTTTCTTAGGTTAAAAAGTAGTCTTATATGCCAGAATATACTGTACTCTGTTTTTCTTACTTCTTTCTTATGTACGTGCTTTCTTTCCCTGATACTCATCACACTCTGTGTACATTCATTGTCAGGGAAGTAGGGGCACCAAATCTTTTGAATCTCACAAGGCTCTTTGCCCTTTTTAAAATCCTTAAACACACATTCCTTTCTCAATCGGGCATATTGCTGCAAACAGTGCTTCAAATTTCATAAGTTTAACTGGGCTATATTCACCTGACAAAATTTGTCAAGGGCTACCAGATGTTATGTATTAATAGGCTGTTGTTTCTAGAGCAATGTGGCTTTTGGGGCATAACATACCGTATTTACTCGAATCTAATGCTCACCTTTTTTGCTAAATGACTGCCAAAATCAGGGTATGCATTAGATTCACGTCATATGGTTCTCTTAGTGCTGAGTGAAAGCAAAAGGGAAAGCTGCTACAGGAGCTGCACCTGGAGCTCCTCTTTGATGGACACCATTTCTAATGTAATGGCCATGGCTCAATGTTGGGATTTGTAGTTTGGTGAGGCATCAGCAATGTTTGGCAGAGAAGGATCAAGGCCTTGTAAAATTACAGCCCTGTGACTCCGTAGCACAAAGGTAAAGGAAAAGGAAAAGGTTTCCCCTGACGTTAAGTCCAGTCGTGTCCGACTCTGGGGAGCTGGTCTCAATTTTTAAGCTGAAGACCTGGTGTGGTCCATAGCCACCTTCAAGGTCATGTGGCTGGAATGACTGCATGGAGCGCCATTACCTTCCTGCCGGAGCGGTACCTATTGATCTACTCACATTTGCATGTTTTTGAACTGCTAGGTTGGCAGAAGCTGGGGCTAACAGCAGGAGCTCACGCCGCTCCTCGGATTCAAACCTGCAACCTTTCGATCAGCAAGTTCAGCAGCTCAGTGCTTTGACCCATTGTGCCACCAGGGGCTCCCTATAGCATTGAACTGAGGCAAATAAAGTGGATTCATTCTACTGCATAGAATGGACCCCAAGGTTTTCCTTGCTATTGCTGGAAGCTTTGGTGTTTTAACACAATAGTTTATAATGAAGAAATTCTAAGCAGGCAGTAACTGTGATGTTCACTTTGTTTGGCCAAATTACAGAGAGTGCCCTTTTTGCCACTGTTTATATATTTATTTATTTATTTGCTGTATTTATATCCTGCTCTTCTCACCCCAAAGGGGACTCAGAGTGGCCTTCAATAGGCAACAATTTGAGGCCATAAAAACATAAAACAGACATATAATAAAATGAATTTATATGTTAAAAGTGTAAAAACATTAACATTGATTATTAGCAAGAACCACGTAATCCGAAAGCAAAGTCAAGGAGCCTTTCCA